TCTTTTTCAAACTGATTCTTATTTTTGCTGTTTTATTCATCAATTCTGACCATTTCAATGTGAGAGTTAGTTACTGTCATCTGGGGACATCACTAGAACAGTGTCCAAGAGGGCAAGCAACACAAGTGATTAGATTATCACACATATCACGCCCGTAATTAAATAAACCTCCAATTTGACAATATTTTCTAAACCAACTGTTGTTTTCTGTCCTTCACAACGAGGGTAGCTGGTAGATAAAGTTGATCAGGTAGTAACTAAGGTTTACTTGTATTGTGTAGCCCACTATACTCTCAAGTGCTTGGGTTGATTTACGTTTATACGAGCTTTAAACAGTTTGCTTTTATGCAAACTAGCTGAACCGGCATTTGTCATTAGGCTGTAACATGTATAAAGTGGTCAACATATTATTATGTTTATGAATGAACTAAGGGAGACACTAGTGTCTTGACAAGTTGTGAGCAGGCAACATGAAGGAGATCAGATTTCAGTAGAGCTGGAAGTGGCAGAGTTTATAAGAAAGTTGAAGTGTTTTTTGGAGTGAGGAGAGGAAACATGGCAAACCTGGTGTAAAGAAAAAAAACCTGCACCAGTATGGCAACATATTGGATTTGAAACTGACGAAGGAGTTGTCTTAAATAACCCTGACTGATATAGTGCTCTCGCCTAGAGCTGAACTTTTAGCAGTGACCCACCGTATGGCACTGGCACACTGTAAAGGTTGATTCTCACTGCAGCGATGCGGAAATGCGGGATGGATTTGCGGAATATTGGCACAGCGCTTTTCCGCATTTAAACCATACACACAGGCGCGGTACAGACACGGTGCGGAATTTCGCGTTGTTGTGTTCCAAGTCCGCACTGTATGAATGGGTGTGGGTGAACATGGATGAGAGTAGCAGTAGCGAGCTAGCAAGCTAACGTTTAACAAGCATCAACATCAACTTTCTTTAGCACTTACCACTCTCACCGCAGCCACCAAGCTGGACAATTGACTACCAGACGTTGTCCTTTAATTCATTGTTGATAAAATCATCCCGTCTTTTATCAAAAACGACGGAGTGCTGTGAAACAAGGTTTATCAACCTTTCTCCCATACTGTCCTGCCTGACTGGAGTTTGGACGCTCCCGGGTCTGCGTGACGTCACTATAAACAAACAGTTTCATTGGCCAAGCTGTGTAGTTCCGCCGGCGAATTCCGCAGGGGTCAAAGTCTGGGCGGAAACTTTTTTCACTGCACAAAAGTTCCGCCCTGGTGTGCAAACTTCCATAAGAACCCATGAAATCGGCTTTTATAATTTTCTGTGAGAATAATCAGCGCGGATATTCGCCCTTAGTGAGAATGGACTTTAAGCAAGGAAACAAAGGGCTTGGTGGGGATGACCACAGCAAGCGAACACGCCGTCTGCGGTCATTTTAAGTTGACCAGGAGACTTCACTACATGTCATCTGGCTGTTGAAACAGGTGACGGCCTTATGTTCTAAAGCTAGCCACCGACAATTTGACCAGCTGAGTTGCACGTGACACCGTGAGCTCAGACCTGCTAGTTCACACCACTGCAGCTTTTCTCTGCAATGGTTTCTTCCTGTTGGTCTGAACTGGACTTTATGCTCCACTAAGGGGTGGCTCCTGAGACAACTGTGACACCTGGTAAAATTGGGTATACCAGTCTGTACTCATTCCATATCCTGAACCACAAATTAGATTTGTGAAAAAAATGTAATGATAACCTTTATGGATGATGGCTAGAACAACAAAATAGCATTATATGTATTGAGGTTTTCTTGCCAAGTAGGTTTCACTTAGAAGTGAATTGCCTTGGTGTTTGGTGTATACCATAAAAATATTAAGAGGAAATAAAAGTAAAGGCGAAGCACTGCAACAGTAAAGAACATAAACTGTTGCAGTGCTTTGCCTTTATTTTTATTTCCTCTTAATATGTTTATAGTATGCACCAAACAATTTACCTCTAACAGGCACATTGACAATTCAGTAGATTAAACTGTTGTTGACTTGTGCCTAAGAGTTGCCAGATATGTTCATTAGCTGCCATCAAAGCGGTGGGGGTTGGGTGATTATGCTCTGCATAAAAATTAGGGATGCATAAGAGAATAACAGGATCATCACAGGAAGTCAGTCCATTATTTCGATGCACATTTGTTTGTCCATTCGTACTACAAGTTAACAGTCAGATACTAATAAACCTTTGAGTCTGCACGCCAGTTGTTCCACATGCACACATGGACAAGAATACATAAACAACAGTGAAGATTTGAAGCTCATGACTTTAAAGCCCCACACTATGATGGGTAGAGAGGAAGCTTACACACAAATCTACACTGTCTTGGAAACCAAGTTGCATTTATTCGCAACATGGTTTCACTAATGTGCAACAGCATTTTTATCACTGCAGAACTTCCAAGGATTTTTTTCTCCACATTCCCATTTTGACAGATCATTTTTCCATTTAAAATGAATAAATAGGCTCATAAAAAAAACCCTCCAAGGCTTCTGAGATGACAGTGGCTATTTTTATCCCCCAACAAGATGCTTCGTCCTCGGATGAATTAATGCAGAACAGTTTTTAAGATAGAATCCCTGACATGCATGGGGGGGATGGTTTTGCAATATTTTTTTGTGAAGTTTTTCTTGGTTGCATAGCAACACTCGTAGAGCCACCTATTTTGTCTCAAAATACACCTCAAACAGATCTTCAAGAAGCAAAGGGATGATGGAATATGGAAGTGAGCTGAGCAGTTTCAGAAAATATGTCCTGCCTTTACAGTTGGCATTAAATCCACCAGCTGGATTAGGAGAACTGTTACTGTCAGTTTTATTTTCAGCACACCGGATACCAGGACAAGATAGATGTTAGCATGCTGCACAGTAAAGTATATGTGTTTAAGAATGTAAAACATGAAACAGAGTGACCAGAGAATTATGTCTTCTTAAAAACAGTAAGGACTCTATTTTTATGGCAGTGCAACGACCAAAACAGTATTTTCCTTTATTTTAGTGGAAGATGTTTGTTAGATGTTGTGCTGAGAATAGACATCTCAGTATCACGTTAGTGTCTGACACAATGCCTCTCAGCTGCTACTTTGGTGATTTTGTCAACAGCACAAACTAAATTCTTGGAGCAGATGTGCAGAAATGTGGCAACAATGCTAGAAATATATTCATTGATTAATTTTCTGTAACTGCTTATCCTGTTAGGGGTGGCAGGGAGCTGGAGCCTATCCCAGCTGACACTGGGCAATAGGTGGGGTACACCCTGGACAGGTCACCAGACTATCACAGGGCTGACACATAGACAGATGACCATTCTTGCTCTCATTCACACCTATGGACAATTTAGTGTCACCATTTGACCTGCATGTCTTTGGACTGTGGGAGGAAGCCGGAGTACCCAGAGAAAACCAATGCTGACATGCAAACTCTGCACATATTAAACTATAGAAATATAGACAGACTATTTTAATGAAACACTCTGCATTATTTATGTGCAGGACCTCACTTTAGAATGAGGAACACATTCTGACCATGACTTAATTGGACACTACTAGGACTTGTAAAATGAGGGTGGAATGGAGCGTGAGATGGATCGGTGGTTTGGTGCGGCATCTGCAGTGATGCGGGCACTGCGCCGGACCCTTGTGGTAAAGAGAGAGCTGAGCCAGAGGGCAAAGCTTTCGATTTACTGGTCCATCTACGTCCCAACCCTCACCTATGGGCATGAGCTCTGGTAGAGACCGAAAGAATGAGATTGCGGATACAGGCGGCCGAAATGAGTTTCCACTGTGGGGTGGCTGGGCTCAGCCCCAGATAGGGTGAGGAGCTCGGTCATCTAGAGGGAGCTCGGAGTAGAGCTGCTGCTCCTTCACATCGAAAGGGGTCAGTTGAGATGGTTTGGGCATCTGATCAGGATCCTCCTGGGCCCCTCCCATTAGAGGTGTTCTGAGCATGACCCACTGGTAGGAGGCCCGGGGCAGACCCAGAACACGCTGGAGGGATTATATATCTCATCTGGCTTAGGAACGCTTTGGGGTCCCCCAGGAGGAGCTGGAAAGCGGTGCTGGGGAGAGGGGTGTCTGGGGTGTTTTGCTAGACCTGCTGCCCCTGTGACCCAGCCACGGATAAGTGTATCGAAATGGATGGATATTAGCACTTAAAGTTGTGTGTTTTGTTACACAATAACAGACCATATTATTAAGTACTATCAAGAGAGGAGAGAAGGAATATTTTGTGGTACTACCACCTTATGAGGCCCATACTGAACAAAGCATATCAAGATCGTAAGTCAAGTACAACTTCCTTACCTACTCTGAACAATGATACTCAACAAAATTAATGCTTATTGTGGTTAAAGCAGAAACATCAGTAAAACTGTGTATTGATGTATAAATTGAGTGAATCTGTTTCCACAGTTGTTTTAGAGTGTGTGAAAATTAATAATTCCAATAAACAAACTAGATTTAGTCCCCACTGAAAACTTTCAGGCACTAATGATCTTGTTGTGTTCATCCTACATTGTATGCCAAGCAGATGAATAATAGTAATAGTTTTAACAAAAACACAAGATGTAGATAGTATTTGTCCTGTTGAGGGTTTGAGCAGCGCTGGTCTTCAGAGCCACTTGAAGCTTAAATTAGCTCATATGCATCAAGTATTGTCCACTGGTGTGTTGGCCTCTTAACATAAAAAAGTGTCTCTGTTTTCGAGATGAATTTTCCCTGGTGCTAAATGTACCAATAAATCTGATATGTGTTGTGTAACGCCACGCCAGAGCAATGACTTGCTCTGAAAATGAGCCATGATGTTAAGAGATCTGCCTCGGGCAAACTAACAAAATGCTCTTTCTTCTTCTCTCCCTCCATCTCTGTTTTACGGTCTCCTTTTCCATTTCCATCATCCTCTTTTCCTTCATTCATTCTCTCACACTGTCATTCTGTTTATCTCTCTCCATCTTTCGTCACCTTTTCTTGTCTCTCATCTGTAGGTTGCAGAAGTAGGTGCCCTCTGCTTCACCAAGTGGGACTCCATGGCTGCCAGGGCTGCCTCTTGATTCTTTGCACTGTGAGTTCACTCTTCTGTGTGCGTGTGTTGGTCTGTTTGTCCATCTGTGTTTTCCTCATGTCCTCAGAGGCTTTTCTGCGTTGTTTAGTCAATCTTTGCAGCACGCCTACTTGAATTAATGACACGTCAAACCCTTGGTTTATCCTTGCAGTGGCTGCCTCTCCGTGACTTTATTTGTGGCACTGTTTTGAATTGCGAAGATACATTTTTGTGACTCTAAATGTTGATGCCAAGAGAGTCTAGTGACTCCCCACGGACCAGAGTCGTGCTGTGACTAGACTCTCATGCTGTGCTCATTATTCTGCTGATTCCACTCTCCACACTGCTCTAGCACACTCTGGCATTAGTTTGGCAACACTGGCTTTCTCCAAAACAGAAACTGGATGCATGGAGGCAGTGTTCCCAACTCAGTGACTGACAGGCTGTTATATTGATTACAAGCACTGCAGTTTTTTATCATTAGTGTATGATTTCAAAACAACGTACTCTATCCATATTTGATATAATGTATAATTATAGTGTAGCAGCTGGTAGAGTGTCTTTTTAATGGATTCTTAATGTCCTAAATAGATGAGCAGATGAGATGCACTACAGTTGATGATCGTTGTGGAACATTGTGTGAATATCACATTATGATATTGTATGGATATTGGACTGATATGTGTGTTGTGTCAATGCTAATGGTTCTTATAACAGTCTTAAACCAGCTTAATGGTACTTATAACAGTCAGAAAAAATAACTCAGTGGTTTTAGACTTATCTTTCACACAGAAAAAAAATGTATCATAAATAAGATTCGAAAATTCGGTGAACTGCTGTTGTAAGAGTATTGTTCAATTAAGATAAACTATGTTGAAAGCTTCCTAAAAAAACAATGTATAGACTCATACAGAAGTAATCCCTCTCAATCATCATTAATGACCCACTAGAAATGTGTGGCAGTGTATTTATCCGCAGAGACTCTGCCCTCTGCCTGATTTTCCTCTTATTTTCTGTGTTAGGGGTGTTTATGGGCGTGTCCCCCCACAGCGCTCATGTAAGATCAGGGCTTCACAAAAAGGTAGTGAGCAGGTATCACTCCATAAGCACCAGCCATCAAAGAGACTCAGCGCCAAAAGAAAGCACATACAGCAAGGCAAAACACAAGATGAGAGTGAATCTCGGTTGGCTTTCACTTCTACTCTTTACCGGTGAGCGTGTTCACAAACAGTGACTGACAATCCTGCATAGTATACCATTAAAGGGATAGTGCACCCATAAATGAAAATTCAGCCATTATCTACTCACCCATATGCCGATGGAGGCTCAGATGAAGTTTTAGAGTCCTCACATCACTTGCGGAGATCCAAGGGGAGAGGGGGTAGCAACACAACTCCACCTAATGGAGGCTGACGGCACCCCAGATTCAAACGTCCAAAAACACATAATTGAAACCACAGAATATCTCCATACTGCTCGTCTGTAGTGATCCAAGTGTCCTGAAGCCCCAACATAAAAAGTTGTTCAGAAAAACGTCATGCTGCTCGGTAGCAATTCACACACACTCACACACCAATGGAACAGCCATTGGGATAAATTTGGGGTTCAGTAGGAGGGGACACTTTGACATGTGTACTGGAGGAGCAACAGATCGAATCACTGATCTTCCGATTAAGCCCTGTTTTCACTGAGCGGTACGGTTCAGTTCAGTTTGGTATGCATTTTTTCTGTTTCCACTGTGGGTAGTACCACTGAAAATGTCTGCGTGCAGCCTCGTTCTGTGGACAATAAACAAGGTACAGACTTCTGTCTCTGAGGAAATAGAGTGAATGTTGGACAGAGCAGTGAGTGATGACAACCCCGCCTACATTTAAGGGTACTCTTTGCAGTGGAAACACTAAACGGACCAAGGGCCTTGGTATCATGTCTAATGGGTTACTTTTGGTTCCAAAGGTACCATACCGAAAGTGTTTGGTGGAAACAGGGCTTTAGTGGATGACCTGCTCTACCTCGAAGCCATAGCTACAGCTACAGCCACAGCCAGTCAGTGAATAAATTGGATGGTCCTGGTACTAGTAAATCACAAAACTTGTATATTTATAACTATATTATATTCTATTTTTTACTAGTTGGGGGTTACTTATTCTCTGGGCACTTTTTTAGTCTGCAACCCCTTTCACGTTATACATAATCATTGGATCGATTGTCACTATGAAAATATTGATTAGTATTAATTCTTTATTGAACTTGTTGGGAGGTATTTGTTGATGACTTACCTTTGCTTACATTGTCATGCACTTATTATCTTGCTAATGATCTCTGTTTCCATATGTCTCAGTGCCAGCTGGGTAAAAAGCAGCCATCTGTGTTGTTGTATCTCAGCAGGTTTAGGCCCTGCGTTGTTTGCATGTGCTCCGTCTCCACAGCTCCCACCACAGATGTTGCTGTGTGTGTGCGTGACTGTGTGTATGTGTAGTGGCAACAGATACTTCATGTGCTGCACTTGACCTTTTACAGAGGAACACCAGACCACTTTTTTCTCTTTAGTTTTGTCTGCAACATTCACTTTTCTTTGGTGCTTTGAGACCCTGAAGTTACACACACATACTAGGGCTGAAGTGTACTGGAAAAAAATAGCATGATATGTTTTTATTTTTGTAACATAAATCAGAGGACATTCTTTGGAGCAATGCATAGTGTGGGGTTGCCAAGTGCTACAAGGGAAAGAAAGTCTTTACCGTAGCTTCAAGGAAGTTGGTGTTCTTCCAGTTTGACCATTTTTGCAGGAAAGAAATCGTGATTTCAAAAAATAGCAGGCTCTTATAAATATTGAGGGTAAGAGTTGGAACGAAGATAATTTGCGAGACTCATTGGAGGATCTCATGATTGCACATGTCCTTTGCGATATAGGTGCTGAAATAACATATTTTTCATCTCTCCTCCATGCCAAGGGAAAAAAAATACATGTAGTAAGCAGCAAACACTGGCTGGCAGCAAAACTCCCCCTCACAACCAGGAAGTGTCTGAAACCTTATTTTTTGAATTTTATTTTTTTTAATGAGACCCGTCAGGCTTGATTTCACACACATGCACCAACTGAGATGGTTTGGGGCTGGTTGGTGGAAGCGAGGAGGATGAAATGCTTGTTCAGGCAGAGGCAGAGGTACTGTACCTTGCGTGAGCCGCTGTACAAAGCGTGCATATGCTCTCTCTTTCAGAGCTTTTGACCCACAGGCAGTTGCTCGCCTCAGTCCCCTGTGCATTTCACCTGGAAGTGTTGGTGGCGTAGGATGGCATTAGCTTTCTCCCACTGCCTCTGCCTTCTCTGGCATCCATTAGTTTCTGCTGCCGTTGGTTTGTTTTGCATTTGGCAGTTAAGAGCAGGGAGGTGTTGTGCTCAATGTAATTGGATGATGTGGTATTGCCTTCCAAGCTTTTGATGCCAGCAGTCGTTTCTTGGCCTACTCCTAATCATATCCCTCAAAGCCAATAAGAGAAATGATTGCTCACAAAAAAGGAAAGCTACGTGTTTGTCCAGATTTAGTTGGTAGAAAATACCATAAATGACGATGGACTGATCCGGGAGTTGTCGTTTTGTTGTGATTGCTATTATGACCAGCAAGCTACCTGGGTGGGGCTCACCTCTTGTGTGACACTTCATAAACATGTTTTGCAGGAGTTTCACCTTTTTCATGATAAAGGTCAGGCCCACAGAGAGTTGCGACTCTTCCGTAACTACTGCTATACATAACCTCTTCCTGGAGTTGATCATTTTTCAAATTGGATCTTTCATTGTCCTATTTTTTGAGGTTTTTACATAATTCTGTAGCTTTCCAGTAGTGTTCCTGATGTATTCAAATCCAAAAATTTTGTTTAGTTTGGTCGAAGGATGTATGTTTTAGCCTCAAATTGCTCTTTTCCAAAGCTCCTCTAAGTACTTTCCCCCATGATTTGACGTAGGTTTCTGCACTATGTCATTGCTTATTAAGCTCATGTAATGCTGTGGACACCACATTAGTTTGGTTTCGAAACGCACACATCAAAAAACAAGCTTAACAATTGAGTCGTGGTAGACCAAGTCCTCTGTGCTGTGAAGTAAAATCAGTGTTTTCTGTCTGAAGTGCTGTATCGTAGGCAACTGGAATTGCTTGACTTTCTTGAAGACGTTTCGCCTCTCATCCAAGAGGCTTCTTCAGTTCTAACGCACTGTTGTGGAGTCGCAAGTGCAGACTTAACACCCACTCACACCTGGACCCATCTAACCCTCTCGTCAAACAAGATGGCCAGGTGGGTCAACGACTCACATGTGACCTTAACGACTAAGGGTTCACACACCCACAGAGTTTAAAGCCTGCGACTCCACACCAGTCCGTTAGAACTGAAGAAGCCTCTTGGATGAGAGGCGAAACGTGTTCAAGAAACTCAAGCAAGTCCAGTTGCCTACGATTTAGCACTTAAGATTACCATGACCTGGATGACTGAGAATCTTTACCAACAGTGTTTTCTGTTGGTGGAGTCCAGTGACTTTGAAGAAAATATAGAAAACAACTCAAGTTCCCTGTCAGAAAGGACTGTCCGATGATAAGGTAAAGCGGTAAAATAATCTAAATATGGTGTACACCGATGTTAATTTTTGTGAATGCTCCTTTTTTGGAGGGTTAAAATACGTTTTGCTGCTGCTCCCTGCACCAGACTCCTTTGACAGAAACAGTAATTTTATCTTGCAGAACATGAGGACTTGCTCGTCTACTGCTGCCTCTGATTGGTCAGATAGTTTGTGCTATTTTGTGATTCTTTGAACTAAATTTATGTGGCATCCAAAGCGGTAAAGGCTACATTGTTTAGCCGTAACATAGCGCTGAGTGTCATTTGAAAACACAGAGGAGAATGCAGATGGAGTCATCCATAAAGACGCAATCGATGCCAACTTTATAGAACTTAATCTTTAATATATAACTGAAACTCATTAAGGACCACAATGAATAAATTATCTCTTTTATTAAGTTTTTTTTAGTTCATCA